TGGGGAGTCTATGTAAATTTATCTAAAACTATTTAAGAAATCCATTAGCATTATTCTTGTAAGAGATCCAAACAACCATCAAAGTCTTGGTCGTATCAAAAACACAATATCAAAAGATAGAGAAGGCAATAATGACTTAGTGACGGCATCCATAAAGCTACAATGTTATTTCCTAGCCCATACCATATCAAGACCGGCTGTTGTACCCAAAAAATTTCCCTCCCATCTTCTTCAAGACATTCTCCTAGGGTTCTCAAATACTCAAGGTCGCTCAAGAATTGATCAGACAAGTTCTCCTCATAAGCAATGGACTTATAACTAGGGTTTCATTTTTCTCAAGGAAGTTTGGTTTATAAGGCATAAAGTGGTTTCCATGGTTCCTTATATGTCTCTAAGAATGCTCATACCAAATTTCAAGCCTTGCATCACAAGCTTGCTCAGTCAATTGCTCAGATGACTAAAAATCAACTATATTGGGTAAAAAGTCAATTATGGTCAACATACAACCAAACTTCAAGATTTTTGGTAAAAATCAATATTTTGAAGTCATATTCATCATTTGATCAAGAGTTGATCATGATTCATCAAGAAAAACTCTCAAATCATCAAAAGTCAAAAGTTGCCAAATTAGGATTTTCTTAAGAAGAAGTCAACTAAACTTTGACCAAGCATAACTTTCACGTGCTTCATAATTTCCCCCCAACCAAAGCTCGTTTTTAAGGAAATTCAATTCTCTATAACTTTTTCTCTCTAATCTCAAGTCCAAAAAAAACTTCATTTGAGAGATATGAGCCAATAAATTATAGGTCATTTCAAAAGTCAACAAAAAGATACTTTTTGTCAAGGTAACTTACATCAAGATAAGGTCTTCAAATGCAAAAATATCCAAAATAGAGATTGTAGAGGACATCCCGAGCTTTCCAAAAAATCCAAGATCACCTTCAAATGATAAAAATTGAAAAAGTTATGACTAGTGAAAGTTAGAAAATTTCGAGCAAATGCATGAAACTTAAAATGACCAACCTTGAAATTTTGGGCTATTGGGCTATTGTTTCAGAGTCCAAACGTGTTCTACATTCCATATGCACCTCAAGACTTGTTCATACACCTCCCTTTAGCTTTTCATTTTTTATTTTTTATTTTTTATTTTTTATTCATTTAAAGGTCAAAATAAAATAAAATAGGACAAAGCTCATTACACAAGTCCTAGCCATCATATTGTGACCTAATTCAACCTATATATTCACTCCAATTTAGACATGAAAGGCACGAAAAAAACCTTGTCCAAGAAACCTCCAAAAAATCACAAAATTCTCAAAATTAGGGCAAGAGCAAAACCTTGTCTCCAACCTCTTACAGTCAAAGCCAGTCCTCCCATCATCTCCCTGAAGATCCCAGGAGGTCATCCCTGCCCTCTTTGAAGCCAAAAGCACGTAGAAAGACCATGTTTCATCCTCTCCAGTTTGGTATTACTTTTCAAATCCAAACTTTCAATTTATGCGTTTTTCATTAACCTGGTGTGTTTATATGTGTTTATATCCATCATTAGAACAGGCTTGATGCATAACATGTGAGCTCTAACGACATAATGACAAAGTGCCATGGTTAGGGCACCGAGCTCGTGAATTTTTGAAGTCCTAGTTACAGGTCGTTTCAATCAAAACAGACATCACCATTAGATTCGTGGGGCCTCAATTAGTAGACAAGGATGCTTTTCATTCTCACTTTGCCTTAATTTCGCATGTTTTGCAAATATCCTCACCGGAGAAGAAGAATTTGACCACTAGAGGTGGTGGGTTAACTCTAACACATTTATTATATATTGGTTTAATATTGTATAGTTAACGCGAAATAACTAACGGTCCAACGGCAAGACAATATGCGATAGGGTGTTCATATACAAGGGCATGGGTTCGATCCCCGCCCCCTTGCATTCTTTTCCTCATTATTTGTTTTCTGACTCTTGTAGATCCTATGCGCCCCATCTCTTGCCTACCATGCACTCTCGCTTCTCATCAGCCATCAGATCTCCCCAGATCTGATCCAATGACCATAAACGCGCGGTTCAGTGGGCCTCTCCTCTTTGGGCCTAGCGAAATGTTTTTCAGCACCCCACAATTGCTATTTTAGGCCCAATTTTTATCCTTTTTTTATTTACTTTTTTTATAACATGATTAGTTTTAGTTTAATTAATTAAAATTAATTTAGACTCTTAGGGTTTTTCTAATCATTTTTTTTATTAATTTAAATAATCAACCTTTTTTTAATGATTAAATTAATTTTTTTTTAATCAAAATTAATTAAGGTTTTTTTTAGGTTTTATTTTAATTAATAAATTTCCTTTTAATCAACATTTTTTAGGTTAATAATCAAAAAACCTTTTTTTAATCAAAAATCACTAAAACATAAACTCTTTCGCTTTTCTATCTTACATTATCGCGTATTTTATTATTCTCGTGTTTTTTACGATTATTGTAACTGCTCACGATTTGTAATAGTAACTAGGTTTACTTTCCCGCACTGTTATTATTTTTATACTTCTCCCAAAGCCATGTAATAGTCTAGGATTTTATTTTCTGCATTTACTTTCCGCACTATTTTACTACTACTGTTAGTAATTAGGATTGTATGGCAAGATTAAAAGCAAACAATAGCAAAACCCTAATGCAAGATAAATAATAACTGAATCATAAAACCATTTGCACACCCGCACCTCTAGGGTAACCTCCCTTGCTGCCTTTTGATTAAACAATAATATCCCTCGAACGTGGGGACACTTTAGCACTGTCCCTCGATATAAAGATCGTAGTCCCTCGATGACCCTTTCGATGTTGCCTTCGGTAAATGATCTAGTCCCTTACGAAATTGCTAAAGCGCCCCTACCAGTTGCCTTCAATGACTGTACGATGACCCACGCTTGTCCCTTCACATCCAACGGTAGAGCTTCCTACTAACTAATGGTAGGATATCACTATCTAAAGGAAAGGAAATTACGAGAAATACCTTGAGTAGGTAGACCGCTGTTAATCGCTCGCTCACATTCAAAACAAAACATTTTTCACAAACACTCTTCAAAAATATTTTCGAACAAAACACTTTGTATGCATTCTCGAGGACATATACGAGAATCATTACAAAGTTTTCCTTACTATTGGCATTTTCAAAATATTTTCAAACACATTCACAAAATATTTTTAAAACAAAGTGAGCTAGCGATTAAGAGCCCGTAGGTAACTACGGATGAAAACGGTGCTAACACCTTCCCTTTTCATAACCTACCCCTAGAACTCAAAATTCTTAAAGGTCTTTCCTGTTCTTTTCACCCCTTCCTTATTGGATAAAATAAAAGTCGATGGCGACTCTTGCTATCCACAACATTTACGATAAAACGTAAAAACAAATCAATTCTCCCACCATATTACACCGGCCTACCACTGAAATGAGTACTCCTACGGCTAAGTCTAGTCGAGAGATTGACGAAATTGTCCATCGAAATGTTTGAATTTTATGTTTCTTACGAGCCAATAAAAGCTTTGAAGGCATAATTATTTGCAGATTTCATGGCACAAATGACTCCAGGCTCACTAAAACCAACTTAAAACCTGGCTAGTATTTACATATAGGTCGTCTAATAGTCGTGGAAGTGGAGTCAAACTTTTCTAGAAAATGAAGTCGTCTTAATAATTGAATTATCTTTGGTTCGGAGTTTCCTACCACCAATAATCAAGCCGAGTATGAAGTCATTATTTTCAATCTCACATTGGCCGCCAAGATGGGAGTAGAAAGTGTCAAGTTGAGGACGAATTCCTAGCATGTGTTTTGTAAGTCAAGGGAGAAACTCAAACCAAAGAGTTGTTGCTACAACGATTTGTCATCTTGGCTAGGCAAAAGTTAGAAAAGTTTAAAACATTATAGATATTACATGTCCCGAGGGAGCAGAACACCCAGGCGGACGTCTAGTCTAAGCTAGTCAATGTAACACTCGATACCGACAAGGAAGGGAGTGGTCGCCGGTGCACAAGGCATGACATCAATGAGCAGATCCTAGCAGCTTTTAGGCAAAAACCGAATTCACATAGAAATGAGAGGGATCTTGAGGTTGCGCATGTATGAGACTGCATGGTTGAATGAAAACTTATAAGGATTGATTGGTACTACCTATATCAACAAGATGCATTTTATTTTCAGTTGTCTAACAAATAAGAATAACATAGTTAAGGGTGCTTAACTTGAAGTAATATTTGAATGAGTGATCTTCTGGAAAGTTTCTCAAAAAACCTGTGAGTGAGAACAAAACATGCTGAAAAAACCTGTGTTAGTTTGTAGGGTCAATCGATAATCCTAAAAGTAATTTGGCATTACAGCCAACACTAAATCATTGGGGTAGATCATTTTCTTAACGATCAAACATGTTAAAAAAAGTCTTTTGACAATAACCTTAAAACATATATATTTAGAGGTGAACATCACAAACATGATGATTTGTGTGGTTTTATTTACATGCCTTCTTGAATTCTTTTCAGATGAAAAGAAGAGATTGTGTGCTTACGTACCATATATTGAAAGTGATGGACCAATTAAAATTTTTAATTCTAAAATAAAACATCTTGACATTCTCTCGCTCATACTCAACTATAATTAATTAATTAATTTTTAAGTATAAACCTAATTAATCTTTTAAACTTTATTCAATCTAATTAACAAATCTAATTAACAAATCTAATTAACAAATGGCCATTATACATAGTTATGTCTAGTACTAATAATTAGCAAAATATAATAATCTAACAATATTTAAAAATAGAATATTCCAACAACTACACATCATACTCATAGTAACTAAGTTATAAGTAAAAATTCATAAAAGAAAGCTGATATATAGCTGTTAAAGTCATTTACTTTTCTTCTATATAAAGCGCTAATCCTTGTTCCACTTACATATATCATAAGCTCATTCCTAAAGAGAAAGAAACTTAAGAACTCTAAACACTACCAAAACCATGCATGCTGCATATATTTTCTTACTACTACTTGTGGTAACACATGGAATACAAGCAACTCTTTACACCGTAACCAACACCGCACGGTGGTGTACGTTTTCGTGATGAAATAGGAGAACAATACAACATGTAAACACTGGACTCCGCCTCACGATTCATATGGACAGTGTTTCAAGAGTACAACCAAGTCGATAGAAAACTCGTACAGAACGTGAGTTTATTCGTAGACCCTGAAGACAAAGGTGTAGTTGCATATACAACTAAACTCACCCATGAAATTCACGTGAGTGCGAGCTATATAAGTAACTATAGCGGTGATGTGAGAAAAGAGATTACAGGGGTGTTGTATCATGAAATGACTCACGTTAGGCAGTGGCATGGATCGCATGGTGAAGCTCCAACTAGATTAACGGAAGGTATAGCTGATTATGTGAGGCTGAAAGCAAATTTGGGAAGTGGTTATTGGGTTAAAGCAGGGGAAGGAGATATATGGGATGAAGGTTATGATGTTACTGCTTGGTTTTTGGATTATTGTGATGGTTTGAGAAATGGGTTTGTGGCAGAATAAGAGGATGAAAAATGGATATAGTGATCAATTCTTTGTTCACTTATTGGGAAATGTTAAAAGTGTAATTACTCATGTCGAAATAGTTTAAGTGTGTGTTGAATTATTTGTCGAGTTATGTATGTTGAAGTGTTGAATGAGGTTGTTTCACACGGAATTTCCACTTAAGTCTAAAATATGTATTTTAGGTTCTTATAGTTTTAGACTTTGACTTAAAGAGCAAGTTAGCTCAATTATAAATAGAATGAGTAACTCTTATTTTTGTAACCGACTCAGAACTGTTAGTGCAAAGGTGATGAATTTGAGGAAGAAGATGAAAGGGAATAAATGCAATAAAAGCTGACTACAAATGATTGAGAATTGATTGATATTAAATGTAATCCTAATACACCTATTTATACACAAATAATAATGCCACATAGGCCCTAATTGTAAACTTATCTTTAACTAACAAAATACTAAATTACCCTCTAATACCATCCCATAATTTAGTAATTTATCAGAAGTTAACAACACCAATTTCATCTCTCAAGCGCAGAAATTGGTCTGTTTTTGTTGCCTTCGTCAGAACATCTGCCAGCTGCTTCTGAGTGCTACAGTGCAGAACTTCTAGCACTCCTTTCTGCACTTGACTTCTTAGAAAGTGATACTTCGTCTCAATGTGCTTGCTTCTGCCATGTAGAACTGGATTCTTTGCAAGATTAATTGCAGACTTGTTATCAATCATCAGCTTCAGAGGTTCCTCAACTTCTACCTTCAGATCATGCAGCAGATTCAGAAGCCAAATTGCTTGACAGGCAGCTACAGCACCAGCAATGTATTCAGCTTCACATGTTGACAGAGCCACAACAGGCTGTTTCTTGGAACACCAAGAAATTGGACCTCCCAGAAACTTAAATAAATACCCAGAAGTGCTTCTTCTGTCGACTCTGTCTCCACACCAATCAGAATCAGAATAACTCAGAAGTTCTGATTTGATCTTTCCTCCAGAAGAAAATAACACTCCATAATTCAGAGTTCCTTTTATATACCTCAGAATCCTGACAGCAGCTTGGTAATGAGACCACTTTGGTTTGCTCATGTATCTGCTGACCATTCCAACTGCATAACAAATATCAGGTCTGGTATTGCATAAATACCTCAGAGAACCAACCATCTGTTTGAAGGTTGTAGCGTCCACATCCTCTCCATCAGAATCAGAGTCCAGCTTCTGATTCGTATCAGCAGGTGTGATAGCAATCTTGCAATTTGCTAGCTCAAATCTCTTCAGAAGCTCTAATTCATACTTCTTCTGATGTAAAATGATTCCTTTCTCAGAGTATATAAGTTCCATCCCTAGAAAGAAACTCATTTTTCCAAGATCTGTCATCTCAAACGCCTTCATCAGAACTTTCTTGAACTCAGCTGTTTCTTGTTCAGAACTTCCTGTGAGTAATATGTCATCAACATATAAACAGACCAGAATCATATTACCTTCTGAAGTATGCTGAACATAAACACCATACTCCATCTCACACTTCTGAAACCCTTGTTCCTTGAAAAACGAATCAATCTTCAGATTCCAAGCTCTGGGCGCTTGCTTCAGTCCATACAGAGCTTTACTTAACCTGTATACCATCCCTTCCTGATTCTTTTTCATAAATCCAGGAGGTTGTGACACATAAACTTCTTCCTGTAATGGACCGTTCAGAAATGCAGACTTCACATCCAGATGTATCAAAGGCCAATTTCTGTTTGCAGCTAAAGCAATCACCAGTCTGATTGTTTCGTGTCTAGCTACAGGTGCAAACACCTCAAAATAATCTAGTCCAGGTTTCTGAAGAAAACCTCTGGCCACTAGTCTCGCTTTATGTTTGCCAATTGATCCATCTGGCTTTAACTTCTGCTTGAAAACCCATCTAACGCTGATGGCTTTCTTGCCTTTTGGAAGTTCTGTCAGCTTCCAAGTCTTGTTTCTTTCAATTGCCTCAAGTTCTTCTTTCATGGCATTCAGCCATACTTTCTTCTTGAGTGCTTCTTCAATACCCACCAGTTCAGAATCTACTAGCATGGCACACTGAACGATTTCACCTTCAGAATCTACTTCAGTATCATGCAACATGCTAAAATCTGCAAACTTACTTGGTATTCGTCTGATTCTCTGTGGCCTCTGGTCTTGTTCTGAAGCTTCTCCAGAATTCGGAACAATACTGGCTTCTGAACCTTGTCCAGAACTACTTCCTTCAGAATTACCACCTTCAGAGTTACTTCTGGAAATTTGTTCTCCAGACCCTATGTCTTCAGAGTTTTCCCTTCCAGAAGTAAAATCACCACCAGATTCTGGATCATCATCAGAATCTGGATCAGAATCAGATCCACTATCAGAATCTCCCTGAGATTCTGACTCATCTTCAGAGTCTTCTGCTTCTGACTCTGACTCGTCTTCAGAAACTAACCCTGGTGTTGGCACTACACCAGAATCTGATTGAAGCTTGTTCCAATCCCATGTTTCTGACTCTTTCACAACGACGTCTCTGCTGATTTCAACTTTGTTGGTTTCTGGACAATAAAGCTTGTAGGCACCTGTACTGTGGTACCCCACCAGTAACATTGTTTTGCTTCTATCATCCAGTTTTCGTCTTCTAGCCTCTGGAATGTGTTTGTAGCACACAGAACCAAACACCTTCAGATGGCTAACACTTTGCTTGTCTCCACTCCATTTTTCTAAAGGAACAGTTTCCTTCAGCTTCTTTGTTGGACACCTGTTCAGAACATATGCTGATGTGGCAACAGCTTCTCCCCATAACATGTGAGGTAACTTCTTTTCTTTCAGCATACTTCTGGTCATATCAAGCAAAGTTCTGTTTCTTCTTTCAGCAAGACCGTTGTGCTGAGGAGTATATGGAGCAGTAACCTCATGTTCTATTCCATTCTCCTCACAGAACTTCTGGAACTCTGTAGAGTTATACTCACCTCCACCATCTGTTCTCAGAATCTTCAGCTTCTGACCACTCTGCTTCTCAGCCTTCACCTTGAATTTTTGGAACTCATTAAACACTTCATGCTTGAACTTGATGAGTGTTACCCATGTCATCCTTGTGAACTCATCCACAAAAGACACGAAATATTTGTTTCCTCCAAGTGAAAGTACTGGAAATGGTCCACACACATCAGAATGTACTACACCCAGAGCATGCTTTGCTCTGGGGGCTACTTCTGACGCAAATGGCAATCTGGGTTGCTTGCCTTTCATGCATATCTCACATGACTTCTGAGGCTTCACAATCTTCGAAATGCCATGTACGAGCTTCTTAGAACTTAGATGCCCTAAGCTTCTATAGTTCAAGTGCCCCAACCTCTTGTGCCACAACTTACTGTCTGCTTCAGCGCCTTCTGCACTGAGACACTCCGCTTCAGAGGTTTCTACATTCACTTTGAATGTTCTGTTGCTTCCCTGCTCAGACTTCATAATCATTTTCTGATTAGAATCGTACAACGTCAAGAGGTTGTCCTTCATAACCACTGAAAAACCTTTCTCAACAAGCTGACCCACACTCATCAGATTGCTTTTAATTCCAGGAACGTACCAGACATCTTTGATCAGAATGTTTCTTCCATTCTTCACTCTGACTCTGACATTTCCCATACCTTCTGCATTAAGGTACTTATCATCAGCACATCTGATCTTTGTTCTCCTTCTGGAGTCAAAGTCTGTCAGCCATTGTTTGTTCCCAGTCAAGTGATTTGAACAGCCAGTGTCCATATACCACCAATCTCCTGAACAGTTTCCATCAGAATCAGAAGCCATCAGTAGCACAGGTTCATCATCAGAATCTTCTCTGGCTATATTTGCTTCTTCTGATTTTCTTCCTTTGTTTCTACAGTCTCTGGCAAAATGCCCAAACTGTTTACAGCAGTAACATTGAACCTTCTTCTTGTCATACCTTTCCTTTCCCTTCTGATATTTCTTTTCATCAGAAGTTGAGGTTTCTGACTTCTGGAATTTATCACCATGTCTATTCTGCTTCTGGTCCTTCTTGACAAAAGAAGCTTTCAGAGCTTGCTCCACTTCCCTCTCAGAAGTTCTTTCAGTCAGACGCAACTCTTGTGCTTCTAGACTGCTTTGCAACTCTTCTATTCTCATGGTTTCCAGATCTTTAGAGTGTTCAATAGAAACAACAATATAATCAAACTGAGGCGTAAGTGACCTCAGAATCTTTTCTATGATTACCTGTTCAGAAAGTGTTTCTCCACAAGCCTTCATTTCATTAGTGATCAGAATCAATCTGGAAATGTATTCAGAAACTTTCTCACTGTTCTTCATGCTGAGATTTTCATATTGTTTTCGCAGGGACTGAAGCTTTACCTTCTTTACTGATACGTCACCACCATAACATCTGGTCAGAATATCCCATGCCCCTTTCGACGTCGTCGAATCAACAATCTTCTCAAACACATTTTCATCCACACACTGATGGATGAAGAACAGTGCTTTCTGATCCCTCTTCCTTGTAGCCTTTTCTTCTGATTTCTGTTCTACAGTAGCATCAGCTGCAGCTGGAACATAACCTTCAGAAACAAGGTCCAGAACATCCTGAGTACCAAACAGCACACGCATTTAAATCTTCCATCTGTTCCAGTTTTTGCCATCAAAAACTGGAAGTTTAGTGTTCAAACTACTGCCTCCATTCATCTTAAACCTTTGCACAGAAAAACTCAGATCTCACTCAGTGTTTCCCAAACCCACAGAATCAGTGTGATTCTGTTTCAGATTTTTGTTCAAGAATCAAAAATCAAACACACAGCTCACTATCACTCGTGTTTCCCAGAGTTTCAGAATCAAACCAAGAGCTCTAGATACCAATTTGTTAGTGCAAAGGTGATGAATTTGAGGAAGAAGATGAAAGGGAATAAATGCAATAAAAGCTGACTACAAATGATTGGGAATTGATTGATATTAAATGTAATCCTAATACACCTATTTATACACAAATAATAATGCCACATAGGCCCTAATTGTAAAC